CTTTGATCGCCAGGTCTGAAGGAACGTTTGGTCCATACAGCGACTGTCTGCAAAAATTTGTTCACCGCTTTTATGAGTTTTAAAGGCAGTAGTGGTCATCTCCATTCCAGGTCATCAGTGGATGACATTTTTTAGGATCTCTCTTCTGAAAATTTTCAGTTTTACAGAGCATCTAACATGCCGCTCCGGTGTATGCTGAATATAGAATGGAGTGTTCAATGATATGCACTGACTTCACATGGTAAGGATGAAAACTTCCAATGACTTGCAACGACTGTCATACTCTATTTTAAAGGCATAACATTGTTTACGAAAGACAGAGTCAAGAAAGTAAAGGCAGCCCCATCAACACCTTAAAAAATTGGCTATTCAAAATGAACTGTGGCATGATCCTGAAACACATTTGTGTCAAATTAAGCCAAGCATAGGAAAAAATAGTAGTAATAATAGCATAAAAAGGAACACATCGAATTTTAATAAAATCGCAGTATTGGCTGCCATTCTAAAGAATGACGCAGAAAGGTGGCGATGAGAAGGAAGCCATTTTGGTTGACAAAGGCTGGTGATCCCGCATAAACCTGGCATTCTTTATGCGAGGTGCAGTGTGTATTTACAAAAAAATTTTTCTCTTTCAACAATTAGGGGCATCTTAGGAGCCCGTAACTCTGTCGACTGTTCCATAAATATTTTGCATCTCTCTTGGACTAAAATTTTCAATCGAACATCAAGCAGTGCTATTGAAATTCAGCATCTATTTACGTTGTCCACTCAGTTGGATGTTTCAGTCATTTGTACTGGCTGAAACATGTGCTTCTTGACAACATCTAAAACATCTCTGTTCAGTAATACTGCAAGCCCAAAATCATCGCTTCTTCCTCTTAGGCCGAAATGCGTGATTCACTATTTTGATCTAACTAATCGCCCCAACAGCAGTGCTTATTTAAAATAATATAGCCATATATTTGTTATGCATGTCTGCATGAATTTCTGAATATCAGGTGATAGCATAACAGCAGTGTTCGAAAATAAATAAATCGGTAAGAAGTTCACGCAGTAACTTGAGGGAAGTTACGTTTCGCCCTGCGGCAGAGGATCAGCCGCAGATGAATCGAACAGGCCCTTTGCGACGTTGCCGCGCAACGAATGGCATGGCTTAGTCGCGATATTACCCAGAGTATCATCTTTGCGTGACGGAAAGCGCTGGTAGCTATGAAGGGCAATGTGTTGTTAGATTCACGCTGATTGGCCCTAGCATCCAAGGAAGACCTACAGAAAGGGTAGCTGGACGTTTCAGAGGTAGGGTGACTGGTCGATACGGTATCGGTTAGTATGGTGTGCACCTGGTATTGCATTTTATGAATAAGTCTGTTGCACTATCCAAGTGCGTTGTCCTTCCCAAAAGGCAGAGATTCTTGGACACGATTATGTCTGCATCCGTGATAATAAATAGACACTGAAATCTGATTTTACAATAAAAGTTGTTTTCATGACTGCTGATGAGAATAACACCGGTAAACGCCGTTTCTTCAGATCTACTTGACAAAATCACACTGTATACTAGAGGAATAAGGAGCTCTTAATGAGACGTAGAACGAAGTGAATAATGAGAATCGCCCATTTTCAAATGATATGGCAAAAACAAGATGTGCTACTAAAGGCGATTTGTAATAATATCCAGCATCCATTACAGAAAAAAATCAAAAGCAGCATATACCAGGAGTGTTCCGCATTGAAGCCACTCTAAATACAACCGTCAGCTGCCATAAAGGAATATGTTTTAAGCTACCTTACAGTTCCTTCCGACTATGAAATTGAATGATTTATCAAACCAACGGTCAAACCCGTTTCCATGAAGCATGCTTCCTGCCCAGTGGTCCAACTTAGTGTAGTCATTCTAAATAATACGCGTAGCGGGACTTAGTCAATAAATGTGCTCTAACCGGATCATAGCCGTATTCATCGTCATCGAAGCATATGGCAAATGCGGCTGTTTCGATACTAGTCACAGACTGCTTATTTGCACCGTCGTTCAGCAACTGCAAACGTACTTCTGCCCAAAACTTTCTAAAACAATTTAATGAACATTAGCCAATATAATACTGCTACACAAAGAAGCATAAATACGAATGATTGAGCTAAGTATGTGCATAAGAACATTTTTATCTTCCAAAAGTACTCCATGCCATTTTATTTATCTGTTGATTTCACATAACCAATTTGCCGTTGCAGAAATGAGCTGCCGTAGATAGGTATGGGTTTGTAAGGATTATTTTCAGTTTCCCTTTCATGCGAACATTGTTCAGCACTTGAATTTTTCGTTGGAGTTCCTTTGACAGGCGTGAGGATCAGATTGCTCAGAAACCGGCGCCAGTCTTAGTTTAATGAAACGACCCGCAACGAAAAGAAACAATCCTTCAAAAACCTTTTCCGCGTGGAAACCATTAGCTGGAATTTAGGAAAATGGAGAATGTAAAAAGTTCCAACATCTGCCTTCGACCAATGTTAAAAAATTATGACGACCTTTTTAATTTAGGTATGGAAGAAAGTATCGATTGCCTGTTTGAATAACAGTTAATGACCTTCGCTTCCCAGACATTCTTAGATATCATTATTCTGGGTAATTTGTCTTGACCCTGACATCCCAGATGATGACAACAACAACAACAATTTTAGCTTTTCACTTTACGGTTCAAAGAAACAATTAAAAAGGACTGTGTAAAATGCTTAATTTACCAACGCGTTTCGACGCTGCATAGAAGCATCATTATTATAGCATATTAAAGGATTTTATATCGCCCATTTTAATTACTGCCTCGAACCATGGATAGGGAAGCGAACATGATTAGCCTTTATCATTCATGGAATTGGTTTGTCTGTTCATTCTTTAGTCAATTTTGCATTACCTTATTTACAACTTAGTACATAAAAAAGATAAACAACCAGAGGGACTAGCTAACTGACTTTGCTCACCTGTTAGCGGCGGTGAGGGCAGCAATATGCATTTCATCAGGATCAGGCTGACAATCTGAATCCAATATCTTCTGGAATGTTCTAAAGGAAATACCGTTAGCAGACAAGCTATTAGAGGAGTAAGATGCCATGTTGATAAATAAATGGAATGGTAGTTGAATAATACACACTGTTTTGTGTTCTGCGCAGCTTCTGGCTGTGCTTCAAATCTCTTAGATAAGTTATAAAATTCAGGAATGGCTAAAACGAGTAAAACTTAAACGCAATAAAAGTATATACAATCTTATTTGACGAATTTTGGAAAAACATTAAGTTCGTCATTTCTTTGCAAAATGAAATGCTAATCTATTATTAAAATATAGTTTCGGCCAATATAGAATAACGTCAATCAGAATCTGAAACTCATTCCAAGACGATCTTACTTTTAAACAGAAGACAGCCATCGAATTAATCCGTATTCCTATATGTCGCTGCTTTCGTAGAACGAAACTTAGTGCTAAACACCGCAGCTAGAGTTTAAATTCAAAAGTTAAAATTTATCAACTCAGGCATAAAATACAAATAAATTCATGCAAAGCTTCAGCCTGGATTAAAAAAACGCTTAATACGCTACATGGTCAGATATAAGTCACAAGAACTGAAGCAAGGCAGTTTCTTATTTGAGCAAAAATCTATCAAGTTCAAAACATAACGGACATCATTAAACTAAACTCTAACATAGTTATATAACAGAGCTCTGAAGACAGGCACAATTACGGTTATTACCTTACGAAGATAAGCAGATAAATTACTTTCGATACAGAAGCCCTTGCAGAATCTACCACATCTAATTTCATAAGAAATTTACCTAAATGAGCTATATTTAACTTCTAAAAGTTATGAATCGATCATAAGCATAACTCCATACGTGCAGACAGCGCTATCGCATTAATCATTGCTCTTAAACCCAGTACGGTGCGGCCCCATGATATTTCATCCTTGGGAAAGAAGTAGACCATGCAATAGCGCTAGAAAATATTTGCACAGAATCTGAACTCAAATCAGTGAAGCTGCTTCAGAAAGTGCTAACTTTTTCAACTGTGCTCTAGTGACTGCTAAATCGTATTTCGGCTCAATTTTCAACCTCCCCGTATTCGCATAAACTTTTGACAACCATTCAGCAAACTCAACAAGCCCTATAACTACTGAAAATATGGAGCGCGTTATCCGACACGTCCTCATAAATGAACAAGAAATTCACTGTCTTTTATTATAACCGAATTAGCAAATTTCAGGCTCATATACAAGAGCCGTAACAGCAAAACTACCCTGAATATAACGAAGTCAGAGCAGACAGACAAAACTTGTTACACCTTGAATACGATTTGCCTGGAGTTAATAAGTAGAAAGGAAGAATATAATAGGAGAAGCTTCAAAAATATCACTGATGACGTGCCAAGTATCGTAGTAAGCATTAAAGTTGAGATGAATCTACAAATCTGCGTACTGCAGAAACTCAACAAAGCAGAACCATAGTCTTTATAAAGCCTCAGAAACAAAAGGACACCAAGAAATAAAACGGCGGAACTATCGCTAACTAATCAGTAAAGTGAATCAGTTTCAATTTTGCTATGACGAAAGGTAAAACAAATTGAGCGTGTCGAAAACTAGCAAAACCGAAATTAGCGCGAAAATTAAAAGGAACAAGGAACAACGAAAACTAACATTTCTAACTCTCGTGGAGTTAGCAGCCGTCTTCCATTGTGAATGGTAACTCGGAACCAACAGCCATGATGAAACACTACAATATGACGGGAGTCTTCATAATGCTTCAGGACATCTATAAAAACATTTTTCATTAACATGAACATAAATCAAAATACCAGTGGAAAGCGCTGTCAGTTTTGTTGAACACATATCTTATTATTACCATGATTTTTACAAAGCTTACAAAATTCATTACCAGCAATTATTAAATTCTATACCGTAGACCTTAAAAAATTTTATTTAAAATCGCAAGACCTCTGTGACAAGCAAGAACAATCCAGGGTGAGTGTCTCGATGAATTGTGCTACAGACCTGGGTTTTCTTCAACGGAAGCTCCGATGCCTGCACCGGATTGGAAACACTGCCTACACTGTCTTACGACCGTCACTGATGATCTAAGTGAACAGCTTGTAGACTAGTCACAGCAGGCAGATTGAGCGATAGTTCTTCAGAACCTCCTTCGCCATTCTTGAACAGCACGATTGTTTTTGACCCCTTCTAGCTTCATTGTATCATTCCATTTCCAGACAGCAACTATACCTCTCCGCTGCAGCCATCCAGCAAATCAATATACCAATTATTAATACATATACACTATTTAATATACTATAGTATTGAAATCATTGTTCATTACAACATTTCAGTTCATCTTATTGTAATTTTGAACGGACGACAACCTTATTAACGAAATTACGCGGCTGAGATAAATACTGCAAAAAAGGCTACATATTTTTCATCCATTTATTAATGATACTTAATTACGAAATAAGGGTATCCAATACGCTGCATCCATAGAGCAAATGCCTAAGATAACATAATATATTTTTTATGCTCTGGGATGATTATAACCCCATGTTGTCCTTTTTATTTGCAGGTTATCGACTTGCAAGCCTTCCGTAACCATGCTGTTTGCATGGAGGTACATTCTGCTCCTTGAAATAAGCAGTTATTAAGTTTCAAAGCACGCTTAGATTCGAAACGTACATGAAAAATTCAAAGCAGAACGACTTTACCCCAGCTCCCCACCCCCACCCCTTCTCCGACTTGAACGACTTAACTTCGATCCATTGCATCCAAGTCACTTAGCATGTTAGCATTCCAACAAAATTTAATAGACATACATGTACCCATTGAATGATAACTCAACTTATCTGAAACTAAAGCAACGATTATTAATTCGCAAGTGCTGCATTGTTCAGTTCCATTATCCTGGGAAAAGGGTCAAATACTCTAATAATATGCCCGTTCTATTTCCTGATAAATTACCATAGAAAAGTGGGCTGCGAATACCCCTGCCAGCGTTAACTTACTTATTAACATATTTGAAAGATATAAATGTCACAGCTAATGATTAGATGGTCAGCGAGCAACAGGGGATTCCATCTTTCAAACGATAAATTCGTGAGAATTTAAGATTGATTTTTCGAAATGTAAGCAAAACAACAGCATTAAATATTTTCAGTGTTTTATGATGGTCTGCTAAAAAATATGATTGTTACCACCACGATATGCTGTCAATTTAAGAAGTATTTTAAACTTACCACCATTTATCCCCGGTACCCTAGTCGTGTTGAAGGTTCTTTCGTACTGTCCTGAACAAAGTGGCACACTGCAAATTGTGATCTAAACAGTAAAGTAGAGAAATGAAGTATCACAGCGATTTCAAACAAGAGCTACCGGCTTGAGTTCCTGTCTCTCGATAAGCCGCCTGAACAGCAGTGCACCATAGGTTATGTTAGCTGCTCGCGCTGCCCATATCTTTGTAGGCGGGTCACCAATATAATCCTAAATTTGAGCAAATAAATAATAGTGATGCCTGGCTTTCAACCTATCGAAAAACACACAAGTAGAATTCCGTGGTCATTTGAGAATGTGGAAAAGCACCAAACCAAACTTTCAGAGACATAAAACTGTGAGAAGCAAAGACAAACTTGAAGAAACAAACTAGCTAGCTGTAGACCTCCTGAAGGCAAAATCTAGGAGGCGAAAGATGCAGGAAAAGATCAAAAATTTCTCAAGTCTCAAGCATTTAAGCGGCACAAGTGTTACGATGCAATTTCTCAATTTTTCAATTTCTCTATTTTCTTACATCACCTATCGAGAATCATTCAGATCTTTGATTGTCTTTCGTAGAAGTCATCATACTCTCCATAGAAGCTCAAAACATTTCACTACGCCTTTTCGGGATTAATATGGCATTGACCCCAAATTTTCCAACCCGGCTTGCATAAATTAAATCAGAATTAATCGACATTTACTAAAATACATATATCAACTTACCAACCCATAGTAGTTGCTATTAATGATGATTGGCGCTCGGCTTCGGAGATAGACGTACTCTTCCCACCAGTCAGACACGTAATTCGAAGCGAACAGTGCTTTGACACAAAGATATCGTTGCAACCGCGGTCCAATAGTATTTTTGAACTCATTCGACAGCTTTACCATCCGCTCATATTTCTCGTCGTTCAACAACGGCCTCATTGTCTTTAGATGCTAAACCATCAGCCATTACTGTTCAGTAGAAAAGGGAATTTTATACCGGCATTGCTATTCAGATTTAATCGCTACAACAGCCAGACAAAGCAGTCGGCCGTTCATCACCCCTGGCACGATAGAATAAAAAGTTCGACAAAAGTACTAACACAATAATTGAATCTTTCATTTTCCAGACCAATTAACATGGAAACCTGATAGATAAAATAGTCAAATATAGCCGTCTTAGATTAAAGCAACTGAGAAGCGTGGGAGTGTACGTATTTCTCAAAACCGACCATATATATATATGGTCGGCAGAGGTCGGAGACAGAGGA